GAGTATCACTGGAGAAATCCTTGCAGTTCTGCCTCAGCATGATTAGTATTTTAAGTTGGTTGAAGCCCCAGTTGCTAAATTTCCAGTAAGATGATAAGTTTCGATGTACGTCTGTAAGGATTTAAAAGGCTGTATTTTGTACTCTAGTGATCCATGTCTTTCTTAAAAAAAAGATTTGTCAACCTCCTGTCCCTTAAAGACTATTTGGCAGTGTAAGAGAGAGGAAAGAGAAATGACCCTCAACAAAGGTCCCAGATCTGGCATGTACAAACCGGGCAGAGCGGCTAGGCACCGGGGGGGGGGGGGGGGGGGGGAGACTATGTGGTATGTGTTTTAGACCTCTAGGCCACCAAGACACAAATGTATCTTTTCCTGTAAAGAGATATATGGATGGAAAGTCAAGAAGCCTAGGGAGACACAGGAGAGGTGATCCTAGTGTTGGACAGGCATCCATTTTGGTCCAAAGGTGCTGTTTCCTCACCACTAAGCCATTTCTGGCACATACTCTGCTACTATTTTGTACTGATCTGGCTTGCTGGTGTTGAGGGATTGATTCTGCTTGTCTCCCTCTTTTGGACGGTAGATGGTGACTTCGCTGGCAGGGGCCTCTCCATTCACAGCTGTCTCATACATAGTTTGTACACAAGCCGTGTCGCGTTACATCCGCACTGTCCCGGCTACTGCCAAATGAGCATTTCTGAACAACATTGTGTATGAATCAACTTTGTGTGTATGTTCTTGCGTGTATGTCCACCTGTTCTGTCCATCATGGCTGGGGGGACAGCTGTGGAGTCTGTTTGGCGTCAGGCTGCCAGTGAGCGACATCCATCACGGACGCTGCCCAGCTGGTCCTCACATGAATACATGCATAGAGGCAAATGCATTCACATCTATCACCAACTGTGGAAAGTGCCTACTGTAAATAATTTATATAGTATGCACAATACACACACACTCTGAAACACACATCGCACATTTTTCCATAACCCCTATTTGCTACTCTGGCTCTCATGCCAGTTTGTTACTAAGTCTGTTTAGATTGCAGACTAGTTAATTAGTTTGGATTTAATTCTCAGATTCAGTAAATTTTAAATGGTGCAACCTGACTGACTGTCTAGACATTTTGGAGGTGGGACATCCTGCTAGAATAAAGTGATATAAGGAGATTTTTCCAAGCAGTTGAAGGACGAACAGTCCAACCTCAGCAAAGTGGAGGCAATTTCATGAGACAAGGTGTCAGGGCGTTTACAGCCCACTGTGGATTTACCTGATTTACTAGGGGGTAAAATAAATGTGAGTGTTTGTGAGTGTGTATTTTTCAGAACAGAAAGCCCAGTCTTGACAGCTCATGACTTTGTGTGTAATTACTCTCACACCTCTCTTCCATCCCTCCTTTCTTTTCCACCTCCCTCTCACTTTACCTGCATTAGCTTAGCTATTCTCTCCCTCCTTCCTATTTCTTTGCTTGTCTAGTCTATCATCACCCCCCCCCCCCATATCGCTTGCTCCTTTCCTCCTCCCTCCTCCTCTCTCACTCCATCCCTCATAAACCCAGGTCTCTCTTTCAGTCAGTAAAGGATGTGGTGCATGTGCTTTAAGCCCAGCAACTTTGACCCACTATAAACTTGTGTGTGCAAAAAAAAAAAATAGTTTGTTTAGCTGTTGTTAAAAGTTTAATTTTCACACTCTGCTTTATATTAACATATATTTCACACCTGTCTCTCCTCTCCAGATTTCTGTCCCTGGTGGGTGGGAGTGCAGACCATATTGGGAACGTAGGCCTGCGACACTGTGTGGAGAGCAAGGTTAAGACCAGCAATGTGGAGGAATTGGCCAGATCAGTGGACACTACACCTGAGACCCTCAAGCTCATCATAGATGGCCTCACGCAGCCTCCTGGGTTTGACATACGACAAAGTAAGACTCCTGCCAGTCGCAGCAACACTCAAATACTGATATCAACTCATTTTTGCGACACAGTGTAGGCAAATAGTCAAGACTCAAACTTTCTTTTGAGAAAAACCTAATTAACACTATGACTAAAATCATGGAAGAACACAAACACAAAGAACAAGAATACAAAGAATATTTGCAAAACTCGCCAAGATGAGTATATTCATCCATGTAAACTCAACATTTACACAGCATCGTTTAATACGTTTAGGTGCCGTCCTTTATTGCCCCTGTTTCAGTTAAAGGAATAGACATACATCTGTTATTCCTACATATATCTTTGTGCAAAATCTTGTCACTGAACACAAAACTATCAGTGTTTTTAATCATATAAAATTTTATAGACACACATACGTGCAAGCTAGCCGCCACAGTAACTTCTCTTAGTCTCTCATCTTTCCTCCTCAATGCCCTTTATAGGTCCCTACTGACTAAGAGAAAGTTGAACTTGTGTTTGTCCAGTCTTTGACTGGTTTGCTAGTTGCACACACACACTGACGTTTCTTGTGCCTTTATTATAATAGGCATATCTTGGCAGTGTAACTTGATAGGATCTGACAGTGCTGTGGCTTCCTCCCTGTAGCCCAACAACACAGGCAATGTGTTTCTGACAGGGTGTGATGGGTCCAGCAGATTGTGTTGTTGGACAGAATATCACATACACAAAGACCTCTGTTTTTCTCCTTAATCTCATGCTCTTGAGTTCAGGCACACATAAATATACCAATAAAATCATACACGGTCACAAACCTTTAGATTTTATTTTGCTCCAGCACCGATTCCTTTTCTCAAGAAGAAGTCATGCCACATCCGTCTCACTTTTTTCTTTCCCTTTTCTATATTCTGAAAAAAGGTATATGAAATAAAAGAACAGTTAGAAAGAACCATGTATTGTATAAATATCTAATGTACAATATGTATGATTTAACACACTTATTCGGGGCTAAAGAGGAAATATAAGTAAAAGTTTGACGACATTGAGAGCTGGGATTTTGGGGATAAGTTTTTCAGAAGAAAGCAAAAGTGAGACACATTACTGATTTCTGGTATAGGTATCAACTATTATTGTGTATGTGTACTTGTGAATGCCATACACACTGATTCTGGAATCATACTTAATAAGTATACAATACAATACAGTACAATACAATACAATATAAAGCCACTTGGGAGAAGGATGCTTGACCTTTGATCCTTACATAAAGCAAGGATGAAAAGTGCAAAAAAAAAAAAATAGACGACTCATTTAAATCCAAATTCACTCCCATGCCTTATTACCAGGCTGTCCTTTTTCATACAGTTTCATATGGAAAGGAAGTAAAGCCTGGATACCCAGTTAGCGCTGGCTAACTCTTCTTAAAATTAAGGAACGCAGCTTCAAGGTTCATTCTCAGGTTGGACCTATTCGGTTGCAGCACACTATGCTTGGCCTCCTAGCCAGCGCTCAGCTGAGTAAACAGATGGGCCGAGGCTACCGCATGAAATCAGTGCTGTGGGGAGGATAATTGGACCGGACTATTTCCTGGGGTGCGAGCCTTCCTTGTTTGTGTTAATGCTACAGAAAGGAAAAAGATCTCTCATGAACATGCCAAGTGGAAAGTGGGATAGAATAAAACGCTGAGAAATGTGGAAGTATGTAGACACAAGTATTTGATTACTGCTCGAAATGTAATATCTGTTTGTCATTTCTGCCCCGCCCCCCCATTTTCCTGCATCCCCATTTCCCGTTTCTCCTCCCAAACATTCTGCCACACTGTCATCGAGCCACCTCAGCGTTTGATATTCTCTTTCTTGATCTCTCCCTTTGCTATCCCCAGATTTTGGGCAGGCCGACTTTAAGCGGGGCGTTGTGTCGATGAGTGATCTGCGGGTGGGTGCGGTGCTGACGGGCCGCGTGGACAACACTGCTCTGTTTGGGGCTTTTGTAGATATCGGTGTGGGCCGATCAGGCCTCATCCACAAGAGCAACATCACCCTGGACAAGCTGCCTGTCAGTCAGCGCCGCCGCAGCCTAGCTCTGGGACCAGGAGAACGGGTGGAGGTCCGGGTCCTGAATGTGGACCTTCAGAGGGGACGGATCGGTCTGGATCTGATTAGGGTTCTCGAATAGAGTCACTTAATTCCCATAATTAATATTACACAAAGCTACAGAGCAAATTACTTCATGATGGTTACAGTGATTGTGGATGAGAACTAATATGGTTCTTATGATCAGATAAGAACAAGGCATTTAAACAGGCAGCCTGTTAAGTGTATTTATAGGAATGGTCCTTTATTCTTTGTTACATGCATTCAACCAATGTCTGCATTATTTGGGAGGGCTTGCAATTTTTAATGCAGTATCTGCTTTTCTTCTGCAAAAAATGGTTCAGTGAAAGACTGTTTGTTGATTTCAATTCAACTCAAAACAGCAGTTACAAGTCCACTGAAATAAAATCAAATCAAACTTCCTTACAGTTATGTTCATGACTGGGAGACTTTCTTTTCCCTCAAGTCATTCTCTCATGTAGGATTTATTCCCAGCCTGAATATTACTCCCTGTATGTTTTTAGGAGTAGTGCTTTGCATGGAGTTCAACACTATATTTGAATGCCTGATTCAGGGCAAAAGTTTCCGTTTTGTTCATCAACTTTCTGGCTGGCTTGCTATCTGCACACAGTGCTGTTTACTGATCAGACTGCTTATTGAGATGAAACCCATGACATTTGCACTTTAGCAGTAATGCTAATGACTGTCGCGGGGGGGCAGGCACGGGGAGAACATACAAACTCCACACAGAAAGACCCCGTGTCCGAGCTGGGACTCGAACCCGGAATCTTCTTGTTGTGAGGCGAAAGCGCTAACCACTGCACCACCATGCCGCCTTACATTTTTATAAATAAGATAATACTTCAATGTTATTCTCATACTTAAATAGATAAATAAAAATTCAACTCATGTTTTGTTTTGTACTGTTGTGAACACATTTTTGGATTTGTGTTGTTCAAAGTAGACTTTACAGTATTTGTGGTAACTTAAACCACCTAACGGACACGACGTGTAAATCAAATGAGGTCAAAATGAAGTTTTGACATTAAAAATGTTTCCTGTATACCTTGCGATCTTGATGTTAATTGTCTCAAAATGAAGAACTCAGGAAATTACGCACTCAGTGATGTCATCTAATTTACATGGTAGAGGACGGGCATGGATGAGAATGGAGAAGAGGGAGGATGCAATGAAGCATGGAGAAAAGGAAAGTGGGAGAAGGTGCAGTGGATGTGTGAAATGATGGAAAGAGGAAAGAAGACACCAGTTAATGATGAAATTTTTCTTCCAGACAACAGGAAGATGTGAAAAAACAGAATGGGTGGGCTGGGGAGGGGGTGAGCAGAGACAGGGAGAGGAGGAGGAGGAGGAGGAGGAGGAGGATGAGGGAGTGTTTCTATCTTCCAGACTGCAGTAAAGCCTGAAGGCTTTTTAGGCATGGTCCCAGACACAATTATCCCAGGACACACACACAAATACACTCTAATCAGCTGCTTCAAAATTAATCCCAGACTCCCCATCCACATTATCTAATTTGTTTGTGTTCATGAAACTGGAATAAATAAAAAAAAAAAAAACATAAAATATGATTCTGAGAAGGCCTGAGGTCCCCTGTGCTAACCCCTATACTGACTGTAGAATACCTAATCACCGTTAGTGCTGCTGCTTCAGTATCTCCCCTTGGGGAAACAAATGGAATATATTCTAGACACAAACACAAAGAGATGTTCGATCAAGATTAATCAGAAGTGGCAGTTTGCTTGGTGATGATCTGAGAAAACTACACACAAATTCAGACTAGATTCCCATACTTTATTTCATTGTCTCCCTTTACTCTCTCATTTTTCAAAAGGAATTTCATTTCCTAATCAAGGTTTTTTATTTGACGTTAACTCCCTTTGTCATTTTGTTGTCTTTTATTTCTTTTGATCTCATGTACTTTAGCTCGGCACAGTCTCTTGCTTTTGTGTTTCCAGTGGGTTTTTTTTTCTTGAGGAACACATGTATTTGTGCAAGTAAACACAGTTTCCCTCAGCATCATTCCTGCTTTTCCCACCTTTAATCTTCCTCCCTATACTAAACGTGAGCACGCAGATGGGACAGGCAATCTGGCCGCCAGCTACTGTTGCCCCTTGGAGTTTTTGTCAAACATTGACCAGTAATGAGCCTGTGATAAGAAGCAGAGCGGCTGCGGGAGTAGTTGTGTAGTCCTCTGTTACCCTCTGCTGCACTGTTTCTCAGCTGTTGTGTTATGGATTGAGCTCAGGTGTGCCTTGTGGTTTTTGTGAAATATGAAGGAAATTGATGGTAAGCAAGCTGCTAAATGAATGTCACACACATCTGGCTGTTTGTTGTCTCATAAGTCTCAGGCTATTTAAAGAAAAGTTAACACAGAAAAATATCCCAAGCGGTCATGCAGGGCTCTTTTTCATCAGCTTTTGCTCAAGATAAGCCATGGAGACGCAGGTGGATCCAAAGTCATCTCAACTTTTTTTCACACAGTAGCAGAGGGAATGGCTCTCACAGCCAGCAAATGCATCCTGCCAAGCGAACATTGAGTAGAGAATATAGCTTTCTCTGTTGATCTCTGATTTCTCAGATCACCTGTCAAAAAACGAGTAAAACCCTGAAGCACTGCAAACAATGCCTGAATGCTGCAGTCCGTCTTATGTGGCTGCTTTAGTTTCAGATACAATAGTATACTACAGTATTTAAAAATTTATTTCTTTTGGTAACACATAAAAAATATTAGGGCATTTATGGTGGAAATTCAAGACACAGCAATAGAAGTCTAACTTTGAATGTTGAATGTGCTTTGTGTCTGTACTGTAGCCTGTATTGGAGCAACCTCCTGCAATATTATCAACAGCAGTGTGTAAGAGTGAGCTTATGGCTCATGTCAATGATATTGTCTGACAATCAGAATGAGCATGGCAGAGGCACACAGTGTCTTTTTCCAAGAGATAACCCACTAGCTGCACTATTGATAAGCAACACAGTAAACAGACTTGCTACATTTGGAGTACCTGCTATCTAAAAGTAAAGAGGGAGAGTATTACACTTCTAGTCTTCATTGCTCAGATGCCTATGCTGTGAACACTGTTTTCTTTTGTGTTGTTCCATGCCTATGATTGCCTCAGTGTGACACAGTGATTAGCACTGGCTTCTCCTTCCAACAGAAAATAACTCCAGTGTAGCGTTGTGACCACTGACATCAATCCAGTCTCCTTTTGGATGTAAGTTTTGTGAGAAAAACTTTTCTCTGTGTTCGACACACATTTATACTAACAGCATTACCAAAGATTGTACTCCCGTTAATATTTGGTGGCGGCTCAAATTGGCATTTCACTTTAGTGAAACCTACTGTTTGGCAAACTCCCTGTAGCTTCCATGAATAGTGGCCTTGCACAACAGTAAGCTACAATCAACTCTCTATTGCTTCTAACTTTTCAGTAAACTCTTCTGTCGACTTTTAAGACATATCTAAAGTTTTGCAGCATAGATCACCTAAAAATACTTTTCTACTTTGCAAAGCCATTTTTGGACTAGATTCTGGACTGATGGTTGGACACAAAAGGACACATGAAGATATCACCTCGAGTTTCTATTGTGATGAGCATTTTCTGACATTTTATTGACCAAACAATTAGTGGAATAATCAGCATTGTAATTGATAATGAAAGTAATTGTCAGTTGTAGCCCTAGTTTGTTTATTTTTCATATTTTTAAGAGAGATTACAACAGGACATAAGTTCACATCCTTTATAACCCACACTCTAACACTTAATGTGTGAGGACATTAGTGGTAAAAAAATCAGAGCAGACGAGTTTTAACGTGTGAACCAAGAATGACATTTACTGTCTCATTTGCTGTAAGTTGAATGCAGTCACTTCTAAAAAAAACAAAACTCTTTCATCCTCTTGTTTTCGAGTGTTGGGTGGCACATACTGAAAAATTCCAGAAAGCCAGGGGGTGAGAAAGACTTCAGGCTTTTGGTATCACTGGTGAAAAACAGGAGTAAAGTATAGGCAGGAGGGTAGTGGAGAGATGGATGAATGGAAGTAGGGGAGAGAGGGATGGAATGAGACAGGAAATGAAAGGCTTTCTCCGGTTTCACTCCCTGTGACCTCATCAGTGTGATCATGGGTTTTATGAGCTTTCCCTCTCGACGCCCACACACCACCTCACACGTGCCAGGACACACATACACACTCACACACACACTTCAGGCAGTATATTTCATTCACTGGCTCAGAGACAAACACACAGTACATGTGTTTTGGTCTCTCTGTCTGTTACTTTTCCTCACACTCTCTCCGTCAACCTTTCACATACTTCATCACACACCAGGACACCCGACAAAGTAGACACTCGGAGTCACTGACACACAAGAATATAGTCTTTAGTACTGATCGCATTAGTCTTTACAGGGAAAGTATGATGCTCTGTGTAATGAAATAAAACTAAGCAAATGTGATGTGAATATATGAAAACCATAACATTTACATATCCCACATAAGCACTTTAAGCATGTGAGCTCACAAACACATTGAAACACTACAGGGTTTTCTAAGGAAACACCTCACCAACAGAGCTTACAAAGGCTTCCGTAGTGAGGTGAAAGGTAAATGGCAGTGAATGAGTGAGTCGCTGATAAAATGCGAGCAGCTCATTGGGGGAAGATGCAGCTTCTTTCCTTCAAAGCCTTTCCTCTTGCCTTTCTTTCCCCCAGGCCATCCCTTTTTCTACTATTCATTTCCCAACTCTTTGCCAACCATTTTTAAAACCACTACTACGTCACTAACAATTCGCAGTCTCCGTCAGCTTCGCCACTTATCTCCACAAAGTGGGTAATGCCTTAAGACTGTGCGTTTGTTTTAATCAGTATTAAGTCTGCTTGAATGTAGAGTGGAGAAGCAGGTAAAGGGAACCAGAGGACGGGGTATGTCAAGAGAAAAGTTCCCTCAGCAGTGATTCCTGCCTGGGTAAATGTTTTCATAGGTGCCAGGTGTTCACCAGTTGTCCTCCACAGTCTCATACTGTACATAGAATATTATTAATATTAAAAACTAATATTTTGACTGACTTTGTTTTTGCATTGCCGTGGTACTTGTATACCTTTTTACATACAGTAGAAACACACAACAAAGAAAGTGGAGGTGAGCACAGTAATAGACATATCAGGAGAGAAAGTCGGGCCGCAGCAATAAGAGAGAAAGTAAGATTCGTGTAACTTTCTGGTTGCCAGGTATGCCAGGGTCAACATGTTGGAGGAGCCAGAGAAAGAGATTCTTGTGTATTTAGATTTTGATGAAATAACTTCAGCGGCGTTCGCCATCATAAATCATTTTACTCCCACATTGAGGCTATATTTACGACAACTTATTTTGTTCTTCTTGCTTTAATGGACCATGCACACTGTTATAAATTAGAGCATTGCTTTATAAGCTTTGTGAATGAAGGAAAGAAACGATATACAGGGGCTGACCATATATATGTAAGCATATTTAAAAAAGCGTTTCTATACATGTATGTATATGAGCCTGTGTAAATTTACTTCTCAAATCTTTGTCAGGATTTCTGCTGGTAATTTCTCTCGCTGCGATACCAGTTAAAATCTGTGTACTTCCCTGTGTGGAAATAACTTTTCTTCTGTAAGGTAACATTGGTCCAGGAATTTCTGTGGCACTAGAAGGTTGAGTTGACAGCCCAAATTAATGGATGGAACTGTTAGCAGAGAGACAGTGAATTTTGTAATGACATTGAAAAAGAAACTGTATGCAATGTGGATCTGTTATGTCATGGCTGATACACCCGACCTGCGGTCAGTAGCACGGCCAATACCAATCCAACATATCAGATTTATCCCTATCCTGAAAAGGAGATCAAAAAATCCCAGGAAGATTAACTGCCCTCTAATGTCATGTTGTGTAAAAAGTAAAGTAAAATACAGACGTGTGTCTCAGATGCTGTTTGAATAAGTGTAGTATTTCACCAATAATTTTATGCAAAGTGGGA